CTACATTCCATCTAGCAAGATTACTACCGACGAATCTCTTTGGAAATTCAAAGGGAGACTGAAGTTCAAGCAGTACAACCCCAAGAAGCATGCGAGGTTTGACATCAAAGTGTATCGAGTCTGTCAGAGCATGGGGGTTGCCGCTGGATACACCTGGAACTTCAACACCAGACTGTTGGACTGGCAAGTACGAAAATCATACTTGACTTGAATGCCGATGTTCTTGGCAAAGGGTACACCATTTTCCTGGACAACTGGTTCAGCAGCCCCAATCTGTACCTGAAACTACATAAAAACCAGAAAACGAACGTCGTCGGGACGGTAAGACAAAATCGTCAAGACATGCCCAAGGACTTGTGCTCCTTGAAACTAGAGAGAGGTGATGTTCACTGCTCCAGCGACAAAGGCTTGCTCACCTTGGTCTGGCGAGACAAAAAAGATGTCTGTATGCTGTCCACGATGCACACAGCCGAGATGACCGACACCGGCAAGCGGAACCATAATGGCATCGCTGTGGAGAAACCCAAGTGTGTACTCAACTACAACAGGGGGATGAAGGGTGTAGACATTACAGACCAGTTGGCATCGTCGCACCATTCAGTCAGGAAATCAATCAAATGGAATAAAAAAGTGTTCTTATTTTTGCTTGATGATGCTCTTGTAAACTGTTATCTTGTGTATAAGGAAATTGGCGGCACTGACAGTTCTTTGTCATTTAGACAAACGTTAGTGAAAAATTTTAGAGTTGCGTGCACCAAATTTGTCAGTGTATCGATATAAAGGTAGACCATCCAGTCTTCCTGGTCCGGGTAGACTGATAGGAAGACATTTTGCTGTAGAAATTCCCCCCAACTGGAAAATGAGCTAGATCATACAAGCAGTGCGATGTTTGCGCTAGAAATGGTAAAAGAAAAGAGACTAAATTTTTGTGTGAAATTTGTCAAGTTCCACTTTGCGCTGCTCCTTGTTTCAAGGTTTATCGAACTTGAATCAATTGCTTATTTAGGCAAAGTTTCCTTTATTCTAAGACATCGTAAATGAAATAGTACATGAAATTTTAGGGCAATTCCTTCAAGGTTTATTATACTTGAATCAATTACTTGTTCATGTACAGGGACATTTTATGTCCTTTCTGGCTAAGTTTCTCACAAGAGTTGTCTCTAATTTCAAGACATTATGTAATGAAAATACTCTCCTTTTTCTTTCCCTTTTTGGCTAAGTTTTTTACTGGAAGGGTCCAGTCATTTCAGAACAAAGTTGTCAACAGAAGAAGAAAGGTGAGAAAATATGGCTGTTGTTTTTCTTGTTTCGGCTTATTTTATAATTATGGGGAAGATTATTTGAGGAAGATAATTTTCAAGGGATGATTCCAAGTTTACTTAGAAGCGGCTGTTTATATTTATCACTACATTCAGAAAGGTGATTTGAATACAACTTGCCAAAAAAAATTACAAATGTGCAAGAAAATTATGTGCGATTTTTGTGCAAAATCAAGCTACATTGCCCATCTGCAGCAAGCATAGACCATGTGAACTTAGCAGGTGCTGTACACTCTGCTGTGGCCTAACGTCCTTGGGTAGTTGGTGTTGTTGCATGGGCAAGGCAAGTGATGGGTGCCTGGTACTATGTTGAACGGGATCAAAATACCCCCGCAACAATCATGAACACACAGAGCCAGCCTGTGTGCAGTGTGTGACCCAGCAAACTTGGCAGATAAGGCCTGGTGGCCAATCTAGATGTCTGCAGTTGCCGTTAGCAAAATTGGGAAATAAATCCCAGCAAGCAGGCAAGATACGGTAAAAATATCCTGCCGTCAAGGGATTAATGCAACTAGCATTATCAAATCTCAACGGGAATTATCAAATGTTAATCCAACGTCATGTTGCGTGTTGTGGAATAGGAAAACTGTCTAAGAAATTTATGAATAATCATTTAAGACCAGCCACACAAAGGGTTCTCACCCAACTGGAATAGCTCAAATGTATAAGGTATTTATGAATGAGGAACAATGCCATTCTTAAAGTTAAGTGTCAACATCATGAGACAACTTATAACAGAAAGAAAATATTGACCATATATCACTGATGTTAACTTCTTAGATTATTTATCATGAGATGATTTGGCAAAAAAGAATTACCCCTTAAGGTGTTGCAGGTATAAAGTCATAAGTTTAGCCAAGTGACGCCATAGGTGTAGGTTGTCTTTAAACCCAAGACAGTGTATACACCATGTTCCTGTGCATTTTTTGTTTATAATGAAATTTTGTCTATATTTTATTGATTTTGCTTGAAATTTTGATATGCCTAATGTTCTGAGTACATTTTGATTATTTGCTCTTTCTAGAGAAGTGTTGGATATTGTGTTGTACCAAGGATGGTAGATGTAAAACTCTTCAAATACAACATCTTGTTCTTTTTTTTTTATTGGCATTAAAAAAAATGAGATGTCAGCATCTAGCAGTGCTCTAAACACACAGGTACTGAAGTAACATTGCACAATGTACGGTCAAAGAGTCATTCACCAATGTGTGGTTTGGGTCTACTAGAGAATAACTACCTAAATGACCTACAATTTGTATATTTCCCTAGTGTCATTATACCATTATGTCAGTGCTTGATTCTTGGTCTTGTTGAAGAATGGGCATGCGTGTCAACACTACCTTTGTTTCCCTAAAATCGATGGTAAAATCGAGGGTTAAATCCATTCCCTCCTTTCTGCAATAAAGCAAGTGCCAACACTGTCTGTCAAGAGACAACTAACAAGTGAATTTACTTTGGATGAACTGTTAGAGACAAACAGAATCGTATTTCAAGTAGCCAAGGATAGATACCGAGAGCTGAAGATCTTAAGATGGCAGTAACCTGAATCTGGCAAGTCCTGACACCCTTAGCATTAAATTATGCTATCTCTTCAGGCAACCGCCAATGACATACAAGGAGCTCTGTTTATTCATTTTTTGCCATATAAGCATGTTTCCCAAAGCTCATTTGAGTAATAGTTGTTTCAAGGGAAATCTAAACCACTTCCGAAACACATATGTTCAGATTTTAAAGGTGAGACATTGGCTGTTTTGAATTCACTTGAAAATGGCAATGAAATGCCAAATTTGAATGACACTCTAAGTTTGAGTCTATTCTGGCAGATGTCAGTCAACTGCAAAGAGGCATCAAAACCTTGGATGCAAAACTGTCTTCAGTTTTCAACAAATTTGACAATTTCTGTTCTGACAGAGAGAAGATTCATGAATTGGAAAAGGGACGTCAAGATCTAATGGCCACCATTAACATGATAATGAGCAGTGACAATCCAGGGCACAACACCTGTTCACAATCAAGGGAGTTATCTTGTTCCGCTCAACTTTGTGCTTCCAGTATGACCCCTTCAAGAACTCCAAAGTGGTCAGTGACAACAGAAAATTGATTTACTGTTCTTCCATCAGACAATGGCACTAAGGGCAACACTGCATGAAGTAACAGTTAATCGATTCCTATTATGTTATTTTGAAGCAATCATCATAAGATAACATCAGTAATCAATAAATTTAAGCTCCCACCCCATATATTTCCAGGAACAACTTGATCATTAGAGGAAAGATCAGACAGACTGGTATGGGGCACTTGCAAACAAAAGTAGGACTTGTACTGATGTGATGATTATCGGTGACTCCATGGTCAAACACCTGAAGCACCTGATTTCAGATTCCAGCAATTCCATGAGAATATGAAAGTACCGCAACACACCCTTAGTGACATGTTTTTGTATTTGCTGAGAAGCTGCATCCTTCAATCTGGTGGTCACTAGAATTGTTGCCCACAAATTGGGATTGACTCTTGGGGCTGTCACTACTGCAGGGCTTCCCAGTAAAGCAAAGTTGTTGGCAATTTTTGTGTCCATTTCCTTTTTATCGGCAATTTATTGGCTTTGTCTGTCAATTCTGGAAAACTTTCTGGCCTGAGGCCTTGTTAGCAACTAAGATTGTTAAAGTCTCCATGACCAGTATGGGGGGAGCCAGTTGCCAAATTACTGGTCAGTTTGAAACTTTGCTGAAGATCTTAGCAGGCACCCTGCCAACTGAAAAACTTGTTTTCAAAATCGTCATAGCTGTGCCTTGCCTGTCCTCACAGCTGCATCAGATTGCTTTCATTCCTGTTCAGTAAGATGACTTACATAACACTCACAACAACAATAGAAGAAAATAAAGTCTTTATTTTCAGTTGAATTTCAAAGTCAAAGAGTCTCAATGTCCAGACAAGGCACACGGCCCCCACCCATTTTTTGAAACAACATTTGCATTCCTCTCCTGATATAATATATTTGTCCAGATTGATTTACCAACCCATACTACTAGGTTTCCGAATGTGCATGCGCAGGCAGTTGGCAAAGTTCGTTAACGTCCATTTGTTGGAAATATACCAACCCTAAAGGAACGACACTCAATGTGGTAACCAATCTACAGTGTCAGGTAAACCTCCCTTAACCTCAGCTCACCCAGTGTCTTACAGAATAACAATGAACAACTGTTTTATTGGTTCAACACTTTTTACAAGACAATCCAACAGAGAAGCCTTTGACTCTTCACAAGTTTTATGACTTAATAAATGCTACAACGCTAATTTCTTTACGTACAAGATTATAAGACTATGTGTCATTATTAACTCTCGTTTATCAGGACAAGTATTAACCCACAGTGGCAATAATCCTCGCTTTGGCATCCTGTACAATCAACAATAAAAAGTCATGTGGCTGCACACACTGATCCAACTTAACCCTTTTGTACCTGTTGCCCCCGAAACCAGCCCGAAATTGGTCTCCTATTTGTTGTGCGGTATCATATTAAGGCAACCTATTATATTAATAGCGACCTCTATAGTTATATTGGAATGAAGTTTGGGACTTCCTCTTTCAGATGCAATAAAGAAAGATGACTGTTGCTATAGAAAAAAATGACGTAATGACCTTTCAAAGGTCAGAGCACCCAGCTTTTCCAAAAGTTTCGAACGTCTGACATATACGGTGAATGTACTTGCACAATGCACAGGTAGTTACAGCAATGTTTAGAGGCATTCTTGCAAATGTGGCAAAGTAAATCCAAAATGACAACAAAAACGTCACGTTTACACTGGTGCTTTTGACATGTTTGCATGCCAGCCTCCGAAAGAACGCCATTTTCTTCTTTTAGAATTCTTATACTTTCAATTCCTTTCACTTCATCTCAAATTAGCAACGTTGGCCTCCCTTTGGAATTTTATTTTCTGTGACACTTGACCTGCATTTTTTTGAAATAACTTTGTTCTTCAATTCTTGCAAATTTCCCCTGACCTACTTACTCAGAGTTTCAGTTGAAGCGAGACTTCTAGTTATGTACATGTAATTGAATTTTTTATGTGTATTTTGAAGAAACGAGAAGTTACTGTTTTAACAGACAAAAATAACACGTATTTTGAAGTCATTGATACCAGAACATAAACTGTTCGTAACCTTTTCGAATCATGGTGTCTTCTTGCAAAAGTTCCTGCAGCAGTAACATAAACCGAATATCAACACTGATGCTGGAACGAGTTTTGACAGGTATAAAGTTGTTTTATTACATGTATCTTCCTTGAAAACATGACAGGGTTTCAAGCAAATGATACGTAACAGTGCTTGGGTTTGAAAAGGAAATTAGTATGTTTGTTATGTGTGGGCCTACCTATAAAATAGTTTTCTTGAAACCACTAACGACATTGTTGGCAGACTGGGCAATATTTTATTTTCCTTATCGTTTCACAGCCATATAAGTTCAGTACAGTTTGGAACAGGGCCCAAGTACAACATATCCTTCATTGACCTAGAGCTTGGATTTCTGAAGTGCCTCATTGGTGAGGATATTTTCATCACACTTGCACACAAGACTAACATCAATGTTGTGTGCAAAAGTCCTCCAGATATCCCAAACCCAGAGGATGAGTATGTAATGTGGTAAGTACTGGACCCCCACAGATGCTATGGAAATGAGAGCCTTTATTGGCATCAATTTCTGGAAAGTCAACTAAGGGGGAATTGCAATCACAAAAAAACAATGTAGATTACTTACAGCATTGGTACAACAAGACCTGATGAGATATTGGATCCACAGGACCAACAAGCCATTGTGAAATACAAGACTAGCACTGTCAAGAGAGGCACATAGCTAAACTCCCAGTGGGTTTGCCTTGAGAAGAGATGTTGTATGGCTTCTTCACCAGTCAAAAAAAGTAAAGTGGCAACTGTGAATAACAAAAGAACTCTAGTTATAAAAGTCCATTCAATGAAATGAATTTTCTCTGTAGTGACTTTTCTTTGAAGACAAGTGCCTCATGTCTTCCACAAGGTCATCAAAGCAGGTCATTTTTGTAACATTTCCAGAACATTCTCCCCCCACCTACACGTGAATTGAGTCTACAATAGAATACCTTCAAGATTATCATACAAATGCATATTATTCCAAGGGCCTTACGCCCTTCGCTAAAATCTCTATAAACTGTAGTGTGCCCTTTATTCCACAATGCCTAGTGAGGCAACCACTATATTCTTCCTCTATTTCAGAAATAAACCAGCGTTGGAAACAAAGTGGGGAGGATGGGAGGGAGTTAATCTGGGTACATATTCTCTAGTAGACTCAACCCCAATGTAAGTGGGGGAGAGTATACAGCATTCAATCTACCCAGATTACCATACAAATGTAGAGAAGCACTGAAAACGGGAGATAGGGTTTGGCGAGTATATAGTACGAAAGATGATAGTTAGAAATGATATAGGTGGAATGAATGTGGTGAAAATCTCTGTGCGTACAAGAAAAAATTCAGTAGTGATAGTAATTGCATCAGACTCATCATTAGAAATTGTCTGATTGATGGTAACAGTTGCTGGCAAAGGGATGGGATGGCCGGTATCAATATTTCTGCGATTTTTGTGGAGAGGACTACCAGCCCAAGTAGCTCTGCAAATGCCTGGTATGGAAACACCTTTAAATTATGCCCAGGAGGAGAGGGCCCTGACATCATGAACATGAATGTGGCATCTTCACTGCTCATCTGGAGTGATAGGCCAGTTTATGTTAGCAAATTTAATAGCTGAATCCACCTGGCAACTGTGTCTCTAGAAGCTGGGCGGTGGGGACAAGTCGTGGTCACCAGCAGTTGAGAAATGGAGCCTCTGATATCTTTAGCTCTTCCAAGGTACCATTTAAGGGTTCGCACTGGGCACAAAGTCTGTCAAAGGAAAAGGCTGAGTGTAACTGGATGGAAGGAATGAAGATATCCTCTATCAGCTGACTAGTAGAGTTGCCTCGATTGGATCTACAGCCTGCCCTCTGCGCCAGGATTGAAATGTCATAGTCAGCTGTTGTAGATTTTCTGTGTCATCAGGCACCCTGATTGTCCATACGGGGCAGTGAGGATGAAAGCAGATCCCAGTCTGGATGTGTAGATGCCACAGTAGGACATGGGGTATGGTACATAGGTTGTCCAGGTTTCGCTACCGTAGAGTAGGGTGCTCAGCACACAGGCATTGTACAAGGACATCTTAGTGTGCATGGTGAGCTTGTTGTTCTCCCAGACTCTCTTGGACAGCCTAGTCATGGTGGATACTGTTGTGGATATTGCCAATGCATTTGCTGATCTCTGAGTCAAGAGACAGGTTGCTGGAGATCGTCAATCCAACATAGATGAATTCATCAACTACTTCCCGAGCGTAGTCCCCGATGGCAATGCTGGGTGCCTCGCTGACATCCTGGCCCATCAAGTTAGTTTTCTTCAGGCTGATGGTTAAGTCGTATTCTATGTAGCCAAGCTCTTTGTAGAGTATGTCCTTGGCCTCTGGCATGGAGCAAAGGGTCGAATCATAAGGACTAATTATGGTGACAAAGCCTGCTGAGGTGGAAAGTCCCACCAATCTGTTGGTTATATAATGGCCGGCAGGATGCTGTTCTTCACAGCAAATCCAACACCATGTAGTCTTGCTTCCTCTTCGGCTCTGCCCCACCAGAGAACAGTGTAGTCTTTCTCACGCAGTAAGCCTCTGTCAGCAAGCCTGGTCTCTTGAAGGGCACAGATGTCTATGTCAAGCCTGAAGAGCTCAGCATTGATGATGGCTGTCTTTCTGAAGTCGTTAATCTGATGCAAGTCACCGCATAGGCCAGGACGCAAGGTCCTGACGTTCCAGCTAGAAAGTTTCAGTTTCTTCTTTCACTTTGTTGTCTTGCCTGGTGCAGTGTTTCAGTCTGCTTGTTGGGCTTTCCTTAAGATACAATCACCTACTTGAAGTATGCAGGCAGACTGTGGCGGATCAGCACCTTACTGGTCAGGGGCTGCCCAGCTTAGTTAATTTCCCCTTCCCGCCTTGCTTGTGGGGTCCAAAGAAATGCAGAGCAGTATGCTTGGCACCTGCTTGGCTGCAGGAGCTGCCAAGATGGCGATTAATAGTCAGTCCAGCTGTCTTCGGGGCTCCACTCTGGATTTGTGTAGGGTTTACTCCTTAGCCTTTCATTCTCCTGAAGGTATCAGAAAGCAGCCGAACCACGACTCAATGATCAGATTATTTAACCCATAATTGGGGCCCTTGCAGATGCAACTACTCTGGGCCAGAGCAGACCTGGGAGCGATGATATCTAAGGGGTAATTCCACATTCCCAACAACTCTAGAACTCCCGAACTTGAGCCTTGTTGCCGGATGCAGTTTAGTGTCATACCCAGGAGAGGAATTACACAGGAAGCACGGTTTAATACTAAAAGGCAGTTAATCGAGAAATACAAAAGAGTGCATACAGGGAACAAAATAACTCTCAAAACTCCGAGAAAAGGGAAAAAACGTCGGCTTGTAATGGCACTAAAATAGCAGAAATATGGCGGTTGTATTGCTAGGCTTTGTGGGATAGAGCGTGCACTACAGTTGATCAAGATTTTAGCAAATGGCAAAATGACTCTTGGAAAATATGCATTAAAATAGTAATCTGGATAGGTTGAATGCCGTAGACTGTAAATTTCACATAACACTTTAGATACGTCATCTACAACTAATTTATAATAAACTTCATTTCCAGGACCCTTTCACGCATACATACCACCTGCACGTAAACCTGGTGCCATCATCAGGGCTTCTAGTTCTGGTCAAAAACAACTATACAAATGGCTGTGCATTCAAATGATCAATTTCCAAAAACTGAATAAAACCAAAGAGGCTATGATAAAATGAAAAAAAAGTAATGATTAAAGCATAGCAACAAACTGAGTTTTAACCACTTTGTGCCAGGGGTAATTATAAATGTTGCTTCTGCTGGGCCAGAATATTTTTCATGCTTTTCATTTTTCCAAATTTCTTAAAAATTCATATCTTCCTTTGCTGGACTCTTACACCCACACAAACAATTGTCTGGTGGCTACTCTAATCTTACAGACAACATCTATTGACGCCAGAGTATTTCAGCCAGGCCTGCCACCTTGTAAAAAGAGCCCAAATTGTGCAGTGTTAAGTAATTTTCTTTTGTTCCAGAAACTGGCACAGTGCGCTGCTGATGTCTTTTCAATAGGGCCCCGATTAGCATGCATCAGTACTGTGTGGCTCATTGCTGCAGCGATCGAGCGCTTTTTTCCCCAGTAGTAATCTGCTCGCACTGAATGCCACAAACCATGATATGCTGTTTCAAAACAAGACTGGATTATCTCCACTAGTGAAAAAATGTTGGTAATTCCCAGGTTTAATGGTTTTTGGTTACAGGGCCCAGTTCCCTTTGTCTGTTTTCAGACACCCCTGCTGTGCATATAAAGGTTACGTGTCCGAAACAGGGTTCCCCAGCAGCAAGTGGTTAAACTGAAATACATATATATTAAAATTCACCTGAAATTAAACCTAAAAACGGGGGAAATGAAGCATAACAATAAAAGCCTTGCATTAAAACCAACAGTTTAATTGTTCAACTTTTTGTGAATTGATTTTTTATTAGGATAATTTTATATACCTTGATTAAATGACTTGTTTGAAAATGCAATGCTTCCATTTTCATCCTTGATAACAATGCCAGGTGGACATGTATAAAGGCTAACACCTATCTCAGTCTGGCTGCTCGTTTCTTCCACAAGACACCTGGGGCTGAAAGAATCTGGCCTAGAAAGAAGACAAAAGACATATATTTTGAATCTTTTTCACAAACAAACAAATTTCAAGGACAATACTCATTTTAACACTTATATGTGTGTGATACCTGTTATGCCCCTCAAGTCAACTACATCTCCACTGCAAGCAACAACATCTCAACATTTTTTCTGTGCATGGGTAGTACATCATTACACTCATTTGCAAGAGTTTAGGACCACCCATACAAAATACATTAACCTGAAGACAAACAAAACTTAAACCAATCAATCACGAAAACTTTTTTTTTCCCAATGTTTGACCTTAGTATCTTGGTTAGACAGTTATTTGACTACATTTCCATGATTTGAAATGTTAACGGTCTAAATTTACAGTACTGTGCCCTCCTTTATTTCTGATTTCTTAGACTGGCTTTTTTCCCATGCTGCCTTACCGACAAAGTGCATGCCACACAAGACCTCCCTTTGTAAAAAAAATTTCATTCAAATGGGTATATAGCACTACACTGGTGTTAAATAATCATTCAATGCAATCCTTTTGTAAAGCAGGCCTAGTGACAGAAATACCAATAAAATTCAAGGTGGTCTTAAACTTTTCCAAATGACTTTACTTTGTACTACATGTGCATATATTTTGCATGAAAGACAGGTTCTCATGTTTCATTATAGCTTTCAAAAATTAAACTACTCCATGAAGAGCATAAAGAACAAGATGCTTAAAACAACTTTAATACCTTTAACAAGAACTGCAGAAAAATTTCAGTCTCTCAATCTTTCAATGTATGGAAGATTTAATAATGGCATTTAAGTGTATGCTGTTATCAAACAAGGCCTTTTAAACAGAGCAGAAAAGCACTGTGATGTCACTTGACAAATGACTTCATTATCATTACATCACAACTATGTTGTTAAACTTTAAAACTTACCATGCATAAAAACAGAAATAAAACCACAAGCTGAAGGAATCATAATGTCATTGATCATGGGACACTTAGAACTCTAAATTCAAAGTTAAACAATCAGTGAGAAAATGATTTTGTCATCCAAAAGAGTCTTCCTTTTGCTCTAGTTGGAACACAATCCAAATTTAAATAGAAATCTCTTTAAGACCATGGGCCAAACCAGATGTCCATACCAACTGTGTGGTGGCAAAACAACAGGGGTGCTAGATGCATTCTAGTATTGACTTAAGTACAAATACATGTGACAGCATCTCAAAATGAGTAGCTTAGTCAATTCATTTCTTCATTTTGTACAATGCCATTAATTACATTGTAACAGCATGGGATGTTCATCCCTTCACATTTAGGCTGAATGAATAATAATTGCCATTGTTGCAGGTAATGTATGACAATGAATTACAGCAAGGGACCTTGCAAACCATCACAACATTCAGCAATGATGTAATGTGTAGATTGCTTCAGCAAGTCTTAGATTTAAAATAATGTGCCCATGTCATGGAGCTGTTTGGGGGTCTACCTTAAATTCCTCAGAGATGGATATACAAAAATCTGTCAAAATTTTGGACGTCTCATTTGGATATGGTGGAGATCATGTTGGGACTGTTGATGGGACTAGGAGCATCAAAAGAAGGGGATTGGCTTCTTCATTTGGCATCCATGAAAGACATGATTCCCTGACGCTTTCATTCATTCATTCAATTGACATTTATTCCGATAGTGCACATATGAGGCATTCAAATTGTATGCGTGTTTACAATTCATGAAGGATAAAGAAAATAATACAAACAGTAGTAACTATGATGGCATTTGCACTACCGAAGCCTAATTAAAAGCCAAGGGCTTGTACTGAAATGAATTGAAAACGGACAGACAACAAACTACAGGACTAACAAACAGACAAGAAACTGAAAGATGACAGATGGAAAACGATGGAAGTAATTTGTACAAGGCAATAATGTGAGCTACAGAACAGAAAGAGTATATACATGTTATGGAATTGAGAGGAAAACTATGCTAAATAACTAGAGAGAAGATCATTTTTGTATGACGTTTTGAAACGGCCTACAGACGATTGTGTTTTCAAGGTTGTGCTAATATCATTCCAAAGTCGTGGCCCCTGAAATCATAAAGTATTAATCAAATAGGATGTGCGGGTGTATGGAAGGTACAGGTTGCGAGACCGCGTGGGATAGTCATGAACACTGTGCACAGGGGTGAAGAAAGAAGAAAAGGCATTTGGGAGAGGATTGTTTGTGTATTTGAACATAATAATAATATCAGTGAGTGTGTCTTGAGTCGTGCAAAAAGAGGGGCTGTGTATGCCTGTGGAAGTGATTGAGTGCAAATCCGAACAGCTGTTTTCTGAATGGTTATTAGTGGGTGGAGTTTATTGTAGCTTGAGCGTGCCCAGACAATGTTACAATTGTTGAAGTAAGGAAGGATTAGAGTATTATAAATGGTGAAAAGAGTGGAAGGGGGAAGGAAAGAACACAGCTTGGATAAGACACCTGTATTCCATGAAGTGATCTTCCCAATCGAGGAAATGTGGTCATTCCAGTTCAACTGATCGTTGAGTGTAACTCCTAATAACTTTACAGAATGTACCTGGGAAATGGATGAATTATTGATGTACATGGAAGAGTAATAGTCCTTGGTCCAGACTTAGTAAAGAACATACATTTGGTTTTATCAGAGCTTAGAGAAAGTCTATTAGCTTGGCACCATGATGAGACATTTGCAGGTTCGATATTCAGAGTCTGGACAAGGGAATGCTAGCTAGTGTTTGAATAGATTATTGTAGTATCATCTGCAAATAAAAGAAATGATAACAATGTAGAAGAAGAGTGAAGGTCGTCAATATAAGTTAGGAAAAGAAGAGGCCCAAGTATTGAACCCTGGGGAACTCCACATGTAATTACTCTCCGTGAAGAAGATGCACCGGCAACAACAGTAAACTGAGACCTATTGGAAAGATAGTCATGAAACCATCCAAGAGCCTGTCCTCTCACACCATAGAATTCTAGTTTAGAGAGAAGAAGGTTGTGATCTATTGTGTCGAATGCTTTTGACAGATCAATGAAAATTCCTGCTATGAAGAGTTTATTGGATAAAGAGTTAGAAATGATATCCGTCAACTGAATGAAAGCCATGTCAGTAGAGTGTTTTGGATGAAAGCCAAACTGATGTTCAAAGAGGGTACTGAACTTAGAGAGAAAAGCAGACAATTGGTTAAAGACAAGTCGTTCCAGAATTTTTGAAAAACAGGGAAGAACAGAAATAGGTCGATAGTTATAAATATCACTAGAATCACCACTTTCAAGTATAGGTATGACTCCAGCAGCCTTCAGATTGAGGGGAACAGAACCAGTTTGAAGAGAAAGATTGAAGATGAGAGTGAGAGAACAGGATATAAATGGAACGACATATTTTACAACAGAAACATGAATGTCATCGATAGGATATGTGGGATTAAGGAAGAAACTAGCAGAGTTAGAAGTATGAAGATTACCAGGAAAATGTTTATTAGTAAGATTTATTTTGTTTGCAAGCGAAGGACCAACATTGCTAAGATAGAAATTGAAGGAATTAGCAATATCCACCGGATTGATGAAGACTTGTTGGCCATCAGTGCAACAGTTTGGGATGTTTGCTTTAACATCCTTCCCGAGAATTTTGTTAATTTATCGCCAAGTATTTTTTACATCATTTTATTCTTCAAAAATATGCGTGTGGTAGTCTTTCTAGGCGAGTCAAATGACAGAGGTCAGGCGATGGCGATAGCTTCTGTACAGACGTCCATTGGCTGTGAAGGGGTTGCGTAAGTATCGCCGGTACAGCTTATCTTTGTGGTTGCAGGGGTTGATAATAGCTTCGGTGATCCAGGGTTGTTTAGTTTTGTTTTTTTCCTGTAATTTTTTTAGAGACAAGAGGAAAATGTCGATTGCACTTTTCTGTGAAAAGAGTATGAAAAGTATCACAGGCATTGTCAGTGTGCTGGCATTCGTAAACTGCAGTCCAGTCAGTGGATTCAACATCTGTGGAGAAAGAACGCAAAGTGTTAATATTAATGTTTCTTGCAACACCGGTTCTGGGACCAGGGCCAGCAGCTTGGAAAAAAGAGGGAGTAATTTGAAATGATGGAAGATGATCAGAAATCATCATCGTTGTTGGTTAGTATGTTATCAATCAGAGTGCTGCTATGAGGGGATATACGAGTGGGTCTGTTAATCAGTGCATGGAAGCTTTAGGAACAGAAGGTATTTACAAAATCATCTGAAGGCTGGTGGGTCTTATTCTTCGAAAGATCAAGGTTATAGTCTCCCATTATGTAGCACAACTTCCCCTCCGTAGCGACAGTATTCAAACAAAAGCCAAAATACTGCTGAAAGTTAGCTAAGGGAGTTTCAGGAGCCCTGTAGACATATCCTATCATCAGATTACGGAAAAAGTGACGCTCAATTTCAATGAAGATACATATACACTCGTAATCATCAGCATGTGACATTAAGTCCTCCCGGACTCAACAGATCAAGGGGCCCTTCACAAACATGGCTGCTCCCCCTCCAACTTTCTCTGAACGTGAAGTGTGAACCAAGGTGTAATCAACCACTGAAATGTACAGAGGGGGAGATCCTCTGAACCACGTTTCAGTAATGCTGTAGATGGAAAACGGGAACTTCAGAGTGGACAAGGAATCTTGGATATCGTGGAAGTGGTTACAGAGGCTCCTGGAACTTAAAATAGAAAATAAGCCTACTTCGGGAATATGTTAAGGCATGTTCTCCATAAAATGGACCAAAATGCAACTCCGGATGTCATTTTTCAAAACTTCTGAAAGAGTGACTTTGATCATGTAAAATACAAATAAGCACCTTCAGATTTATGAAAATGATTACTTGGGGGTTATTTGGCATAATGTGTACATTTGGTTGCCTACCAGCGCAAATCAAATGGAGGTGAATTCATTTAAAGTTTATGTCAAAGTGTTTACACCAGAGGACTTGATTTCAAAACTTCTCTCAACAAGAAGGAGAATTCAGTATAGACTGAT